ATCTAAAAATAAAAGTGGCTGCTGCACAGGTAGCTTTTAATGCACACAGATTTTAGAAGTTCTTGTGTTTTCAAAAAACTACTGACACACTTTTAAAGTATATGAATCTGATTATAGTAAAACAGGGCCATGAAGACCAAGCCCTTGGAATCAGACAGTGTTGGAATCCAGGTTCTGCCACCTGTTAGCTGTGTGACCTTAGATAAGTCATTTAACCTTTCTGAGCTCTGATACCTAACTCTGTAAAATGGGAATAATGGTATCCACTTTATAAGGTAGCTGTGAATGAAATGAAATGGTGCATGCAAAGTCTCTCCTAGGGTGGCTAGCACACAGCAAATGCTCAATGATCACCATTAATATTACCTTGTATAAAAAATACAGGGAGATGCTCTTAATCAAAAGACAACTGCTACAGTATAGCACAAGTGGGTAAGAAGTACTGGGAGAATTAAGACAGGTTGATCTGACACTTGTGAAGCCTGTGTAGGAGCATAGGAGCGTGTTTTTAGGCGAATCCTCGAGAAGGAAGGTAGATAGATGCTGGGCCTGGAAGAGCCGGTGTGTTGTCAGTGGCAGACGGAGGAGGGGCAGGATGGGGCCCCTGTCACTGTGGCCTCAGCCCTGGAATAACTGCTCGAACAACAAACACAATTAAGATGGAACTGAGGGCCATGAAGGTCATTCCTCACCACCTTAAACGAGTTCCTGTCTCTCTGTTACCAGGCAGGGCATGGACAGGACATGCAGACGTGATGGGGGAGCCATGATGTATGACCTACGTGGGCTGCTGGAAGAACCGCCTGGAAAGGCACAGGGGTCAGGGGTCTGAGGAAGAGGAAAGGTGGCTTTGATTCTCAAAAATAGGGGAAAGGAGAGACTTAGAAAATACCAAAGTACACTTAGTGTCCATCCCTGGTGAAGTTCTAGAAGCAGTGATTACACTGAAATGATGCTCCTGCCTGGCCTCCTGCTTCTGCCCTCACCCACCCCACAGCACCACACTGTGTTGTCAGTCTGGCAACCAGAGGGATGCCTGTGAGTCAGATCATGCCGCGTCTGCTCAGGACCCTCCAGCGACTCTCCCTTTTACCAGAAAGAGAAGCCCCAGTTCTCCCAGGGGGTTGCAAGGCCCAGCACAGTGGCCAGGCCACCTCTCTTGACCTCAAGTCTTGCTGTGACTCTTCCCACCCCCCACCTCCTGCTCTGGCCACACTAGCTGCCTTGATCTTGGCCTTCGGCCTAGCTGTCCTCTCTGCTTAGATCCCTCTTCCCCCAGATAACTGCTTGGTTTCCTCCCCCCAAGTCTTTGCTCAAATGCCAGCTTCTCAGCAAGGCCTCTCTTGAGCGCCCGTGCGAGCCCCACACTCCCACTCCTCCTCCGCCCCAACTTGTTTTTCCCTCTACAGTGCTCAGTACCATCCACTCTATACTCTGACTTACCTGTCTTGCTCATCCATTCTCTCCCCTCGCCTAGACGCAAGCTCCATGGGCTCAGAGATTCGTATCTGCATTCCCAGTTCCTAGAACTGTGCCAACCACGTAGTCATGTTCATTAAATGTTTGTTGCTTGGGAGGGAAGGAGCAGAAAGGAAGGAAGGTGGCTCAGTACATCAAGAGGTCACTAGACTAGGGTGACCAGTTGTCCCAACTTTCCCAGGCCTGAAAGAGTTCCTGAAACTACGGATCTTTCAGTACCAAGACCAGGAAAGTTCATTTACTTTGGAGATACAGGGACCAAACTGATGGCTCCCAGGAACGTCACAAACCCACTATCTCCCACAGCCTCCCACAAAGCCTGCCTGGTGGGAGAATGCAGAAATGTGTGCTGCAAGATAGTGTATTTAAGCAGTTTGTAGTTGGCTGAGTGGCCACAGCAGACGTGTTGATTGATGGGCCTGTGTCAGGCTGATGGGAACGCTGCCACGGTGAGCCACAAAGCCACGTCCCAGCCCAGGTTTGCCTGCAGCCTCTCTGAGCCATGGGTGAGGACACAGAATGCAGGACAGAATCTTGCACTGGTACACACTAGGGGGTGGGGGATGGAAATGTTAACGGGGCTCTGCACACTGCTTGGCTTGCTAAGATATAGATAGAAACTTCCAGAGGGCTTCATGGGACTACTGGATGGGGTGTATGAGCACTGACCCCCTCACCTTCTCCTCTCTTGCTGTAAAGTGTGGAGTAGTCTTCTATCCATCATCTCAGGGTTTGCTGACCATTCCCGGTACTAGGGAGGGGAAGCTAATGCATTCAACGATTAGGCTTGGTTTCAAGACCATCCCAGTAGATGGAAATGATAGGCCCTATGTAACAGCTTAAAATTTAAGCAGAAATAAACACAACTGACCCTTGAACAACATGGGGGGGCAGGGGCACTGATCTCCATGCTCTAAGGACCCCAAGTTTTGACTCCCCCAACACTTTACTAATAGCCTCCTGTTGACTGGAAACCTTACTGATAAAATAAATGGTTGATTAACACATGTTTTGTATGTTATGTGTACTACATACTGTATTCTTACACTTAAGTAAGCTAAAGAAAATTTTTTTTCAAATTGTCACAAATCTCCCTAAAATTTTCAAATATATTTATTAAAAAAATCTGTGTATAAATGGACCTGCACAATTTGAACGTGTGTTGTTCAAGGGTCAACTGTATTACTTTCTACTTAGAACTAAAGAAAAGAAATCTTAAAGATACAGAAGAGACCAGGCTTAACAGCTGTGCTGTTGCTTTTAAATCCAACGTGGGGAGTTGCCCGTGCACTGCGTCTGGTGTGAAAGCTGAGATTAAAATGTCACTTAAGCCGTGTTCATGGACGAATAAGGGTGCGGTCCCTCTGTCTCCTGCCTGGTGGGAACATACCTGAGCCACACACCCAGCTCTTTACCAGGAGAGAGGTCGTTCACTCATTGCTCAGTTTCTAGCTATTCTAAGACACAACAACCCACAAAGGGCTTTCCCCCCCCCTGTCCCCACCTGGCTATATTCCTGTGCTGTCACCTCTCTCCTTGGGAGGAAGGGGGCTGTGAACTCGCACCCTCTTCCCAGCTCATCTACATTCTCTGGAGCAGCCGACATGTCCAAGCCTGGGGTGTCAGCTGAGATACAGGTCAAGTCACTATAACTGCCCTTTCCCTGGGAGGGAGGGACTCGCTGCCTAAGACTCAGACCTCTGGAAGTTCCACCTCTTCCCCACACAGCTTCCCCACACAGCTTCTGGATGACCCAGGACAGAGCCAACCCTCGGCGCTGGTACACAGGCCAGATCCTACGGGCCAGCTCCAGTCAGCAGGCAGGGCTGCCCAGAGCATAGGTCTGACCATCCCAGAGCTCATCATGAAGAACACGGGGAGGCGTGAGGAGTACCCCGACCACAGGCGCCTGAAGGGGAAGGGGAGCATGTGGTCATGCCTCCACCTTCCCAGCCCCCTCCCCGAAGGACACAGGGCTCACCCAGGGGAAAGAGCACGAGAGAATGGCGCCTGCTGACCTCAGGGTAGAGGGCTGTCATTTTGAAATGGGGGGCTGAGCAGCCCGCCAGTAGAGTGGGGAGGGGTCGGGTGACCATCCTGCAGCCCCTTCCCCATACTTCCCTAGTCCAGAACCTATACTGATATCTTCATAAAAGCCTGGCTCTGGGGCATCAGTGCACCGTTCTAGCTACTGAAGGCCAGCGCTCCATGGTTCTCAAAGCAGAGTCCCCAGGTCAGCAGCCTTGGCATTGCTGGAAACCTTGTTAGAAATGCAGTTCTCGGGCCCGCCCAGGGCAGGCCAGGATCTCTGGGGCTGGGCCCAGCCATGTGTGGTCAGCAAGCCCTGCGGGTGAAGCAGCTGCAGGCTGAGGGTAGGAGCCCCCCCCCCCACCCAAGGGGAAGAAGGCTTCTAAATGGGCCGTTTGCTGAAGGTCTTCAGAAGAGCCTGCTCTCTGTGTAGAGGAACAGTGTCCTCCGGCTTTGGGTGAGCGCTCTCTTTGTAGGTCTCACCGTGCCTGACGCCCTGTCCACTGGTCGGGCTTCCACCTGGGGATACATGTGCAACCTCAGTGGTGGCTTGGAGCCACCTTCCAGCAGGTCTGCCCCGTGTGTCTGTAGCATAGGGGCCCTCGGGGTCCCATGGAGCTTCTTTGCAGGCTCAGGACACCCGTGGCTTTCCCAGCCTATCTCAGAAACAAGAGCTGTGGCCCAGCGGCCTCCTCTGGAGCCCCGCCTCCGCTGGCACAGCAGCCGCCTCCCCTTGGTTCTAGTGCCTTCCCAGCAGATGCTCCTCTTTACATTTGGTTCTGAGAACTTAATCTGTTTTTTATTTTTAATACTGCAAAAGCAAGCCATGCTCGTTGCAGATTATATTGAAATGGACTGGAAAGATCAATGCAGCCATTTCCTTGTCCCCTCCCGCCCCTCCCCCACCGGCCTGCTCCAGCTCTACCCCCACCGAATCCTGTCACCTCACACCCCCTCCAGCCCAAATGAGCCAGAGTTCTTGCTGTCTTGATGATTTGCGATTCTCTGCATGACTCTGCCTCTTGGGTTTGTTTAATTAGAAATAGGCCGGGAAGTGCTTCCTATGCACTGGCATGTTAATTGCTTATCAGAGAAAGGGAAGGTGACAGCGTTTGGTGTGGAAATTTCCGCACTCTCCGTCTCTGCATTTTTCTCCATTTTCCCCTCCCACCCCCCCTCTTGCTGCCCGTGCTTCCTGCCCCTCGCCAGCCTGGCCCTTCGGCCCTCTTCCCCCGCTCCTCCGTTCGGGGATGGCCCGGGAGCGGGCCCCAACCGGAAGCTAAGCGGAACTGCCCACCCCACCATCTCCCTCTTCTCTCCCATCCGGCTCTCGGCCACCCTCTGAGCTTGGCGGAGATTCCAGAGCATGACGCTCTTCAGTTACACTCAATGTTCAAAGGATTATTTTCCTTTGTTTCCTTTCCCCCTTATTATTGTTATTCTTATTTATTTTAATTTTTTACAAAAGAGGAGAAAAGAGTGAATTGGGTTGGGGGAGGTGACACATTTCTCCACAAAGGTACAAAATTGCCTGTAGAAAGTCAACTTCAGAGTGCCCACCTGGGCTGCCAAGACGAGGTGTTCCTGGGCACCCCTGTCCCCAGATGTCCTTCGGGAGTGCTACCCCACAGTGGGGAGGAGAGGCCTCCTTCAGCCTTTGCCCAGGAGGGGAAGAGCAAGCAATGGAGACTGCACAAAGAAGGGGGTGGCATCCTGTGGGCCAAGGGCCCGGGGACACAGGCAGGGCACATCCAGGAGAGGCCCAGGAGCTTCTGGGCACGCAGACAGCTGGCGAGGTGGGAGGCTGTAGCCGGAGTCCTTCCTGTTCCTTGGAAATTCCCCTCAGAATGGCAGCCGGCGGGCCCCCAGCAGGTCGGGGTGATTATTAGAGGCTGCAGGAGCAGCCCCCTCTCCTAGAGCCACAGAGCCCCATCTGTCTCGGTCCAGCTGCCAGGCCTCAAGCACGCGGGTCCGTGTCACTGCCCTGGCAGGGCATCTGGCCCAAATTGCTTCCCTTTTGGTAGAAAGTAGTCCTGTTATTTTTCTGCTGCTGTGGTCAGGCTGAGCTTCAGGAGTTCTGCAACAATGGCGGTGACAGTGTCTCTCCTTCTGAGGACCTGGTCAGCTTCCGCCCCGGATTCCAGGGCAGGACAAGGGGCACAGACACCACGCGGACTGAGGGGGCAGTCCAGCCCCAGAAAGCCCAGGCAGGAAGGAGGGGCTGCCCACCCACCCCTTGCCTGGGCTGGCCAGTGCCAAGGTGGGCTGCTAGCACAGTCGCCAGCAGCAGGATGGCGAGAGCCACGGTGGCTATGAGCCCAGGTTGGTCCCCTAAGCCTCTGCGGCAAGCGGTGGCCTCTTTAGTCCTGGTCCGTATGCATGCCAGCTGGGTGTGGGCATCAGCAAAGGCCACCTGCAGGCAAGCCCAGTACTCAGTGGCCTGAAGCAGCCGGGTGATGTTGAAGCTGTGGGTGCCCCGAGGCAGGCGAGCCAGAGCAGAGGTCCCCTGGCCCTGGGAGGAGGAGGTGCTGGACCAGGTGAGGTTGGTGGAGACTGTGTTGGGAGGGGGGACCCAAGACAGCAGGATGTGGTAAGGGTGGGTCTCCTGCACCTGGAGTTTCAGCCCCCGTCGCTTGTCCCAGCCTGGCTTCAGGGGAGCCCGGCCAACAGACACACTCACCGTCTTAGTGTCAGCGCCCACCAGGTTCTGGGCCACACAGGTGTACAGCCCTGCCTCTGCCACGGTCACCCTCTGCAGTTCCAGGGTGCCCTCCGGGTAGACCCGGTACTTCCTGCCTGTGTGGGCAGCCGGCAGTCGAACCCCAGCTGGAGTGACCCAGTAGATCTCGGGCTCTGGTTCGGCCAGCGCCCGGCAGTGCAGCACCAGGCTCCCTCCGCTGGCCACCTGGAGGCTGGGGGGGAAGCTGCGGGGGGAGATGAGGGGCAGGCAGTGGTCCGTCATCTCCCGGAAGGGCACCTCGCGGACTGGGCGGCGCTGGAGGTCCGGCGGCTCAGCACATAGGGTGGACTGTGGCTCGATGAAGCGGACATGGTTGTCTGTGGAATTGGCCCAGCGGATGACACAGTCGCAGCGGATGGGGTTGCCGTGGAGACCCACCTCCTGCAGGTTGGGCAGGGACTCGACCGTCTGCTGGTGCAAGGCGCTGAGCGCGTTGTTGTTGAGCATGAGGGTCTCCATCTGGGGCAAGTGGTGGAAGGCACGGGGGTGGACGAAGGACAGCCGGGGATTGTTGGTGATGTCCAGCTTGGTCAGCTCGGGGAGGTTGACCAGGGCAAACTTGTCGATGGACACCAGCTCCTCCATGTTGTTTAGCCCCAGTTCCTTGAGGTGCAGCATGTTGGCAAAGTCCCCGGGCCCCACCCGCTGGAGCGGGTTCTTGTTCAGGTCTAGGAACTTGAGTCCGGGCACCTGCGCCAGCGCACGCCTGGGCACCCGAGCCAGCTGGTTGTCGTAGAAGGAGAGACTCTCCAGGTTTTGCAGCCCCTCCAGGGCATAGTCGGAGATCTCCCGCAGGCTCATGCCTGCCAGCACCAGGCTGCGCAAGGTGGCCAGGGGCCGGAAGTTCATGTCCAGGATGGCATCCACCTTGTTGCCGCCAATCATGAGGATCTCCAGGTTGGGCAGCATCTCGAACCAGCGGCTGTCCACGGCCCTCAGCAGGTTGGAGTTGAGGTGCAGCCGCAGTAGGTTGCCGAGGCCGGCGAAGGCCCTGGGGGCGATGCGGTAGAGCTGGTTGTGGTTGAGATAGAGCTCCTGCAGGCTGGCCAGCCCCGCGAAGCTGTGGTCCTCCAGCCGGGTCAGCTGGTTCTCCTCCAGGTGCAGGCTCAGCAGCTGGGGCAGCACACGGACATCACAGTCTCGGGCGTCCGAGAAGCTGTTCTGGGACAGGTCCAGTTCTGTGAGGTTGGCCAGGTAGCCGAGCTCGCTCTGGTCCACACGAACGATGCTGTTGCTCTGCAGCAGCAGGGTCTGCGTGCCTGCGGGCAGTGCAGGGGGCACGGCCGTCAGGAATAGGTCATTGCAGTCCACGGTGGTGGCCTCGCGGTAGGATGATCGGGGTGTGTACCAGGGCCGGACCTGGCAGGCACACCGAGGGGGGCAGGGCACTCGCCAGGGTACCACGGGCACAGCAGCAGTGGCACCAGCCACCCAAGCTAGCAAGAGGGGGGCCACAAGGGACCTCATGGTGTTGCTGCCAAGCACGGGACCATCTACCAGAAGAGTCTGGAGTCCCGCTCTTGGCAGTTCACAGGCAGGCTGAGGGTCAGCAGTCCTGCCAGGGCCTGGGCAACCACCCTCCCAGGGCAGTCATTCTACTCAGGGACCGGTGGGCGTCACTTTTGGCCATCCTGGGTGTGGCTCTCCATCCTTGCCCGCTGGGGCTGAACCCGCACACTCATCACCACGCCGAAGGGGCGGCCCTGGAAGAAGAGGATGCGGAGTAAGGAGGTGGCGGGGGACGAGATGTGCTCCCGCCTCCTGTGTGCGTCCGTCCGTCCGTCTGCCTTGTGTGACTTAAGAGGCCAAAGAAAGCCTCCTGGGTTCTGTCCTGCAGCCCCTGGGCCTTAGTGTCCTTTTCTATGATTGGCAGGGTGAGTGAATGAGTCTTGAGGGACGGAGGGAGAGATTGAGCCTTGGAAGCTTCCAGAATAGCCCGGGGAAGGGGTGTGTGTGTGTATATGTGTATGGGGGTGCATTATTGTCCCTTTGGAGTCCTGGGCCCAGAGAGATGCAGAGGAGATTCTCCAGCCTTGTCACGTCCCTCCCCCTCCCTCCTTGGCTCAATGGGTAAATGGGAAATGAAGAGAGTTTCCAGACATCCCTCTGAGTGATGTGGGTTGGGGTAGGGGAAGCAGCTTCTAAGTTCTGTCACGGGCACCCAGGACTCTGCAATTTGAAGGTCAGCGCACCCTGACCGCACCCCCAGGCAGGCTGGGGAAGTGGCTGCTCCTGCCTGGGGTCTGCTTGGTCTCCCCTGGGGTGGGGTACAGCTCCAGTTTTTGCTAACCTCCCCCCCGTGGAGGCAGGGCTTCCCCCTCCCAGCAGCCTGGCCGTGCTGCAGGGAAGGAAGTGGTGGGCTAAGCAGCTGAGGTGTGAGCTCCTCAGTCCTTAGCGGGAGACTGGCCTTGGCCTAGAGCCAGGACGGGAGGGGGGGAACTGCCGGCCCTTCTGGTCCTGGAGTGACTCCTGAGTGGAGCTCTGCTTCAGGCCGTTTGCCAGCTGCAGACATCAAGGGAAGCGCAAGAACATGTGTGACTTGCCAGGACTCTTTAAAGACTGAATGTCTTATTTCACTGAACCCTCATAATGAGTCTACAAGATAAACATTAGGACCCCCAGTTTGCAAATGGAGAAAACTGAGGAAGAGGTTAAAGAATTTGGCTCAAGACAAAGAGCTGGTGAGCGACAGGAGACAGGAATCCACCCAAGTCCAGAGGTGGGCCATTTACTCCTTGCCCCTCTGCCCCGGGCTCTGGCCCAAGCACACCCCGGCCCCCCAGGGCTGTACTGGCTGCGGCAGCAGTAGGCTGCGCGCTCATTCTTGGCGATCGCTCCTTACCAGGGAGCTGTGGGAAGCTGGAGGCTGTGTCTCCTACCACCTTCCAGGCAGGTGCCTCTCAGCCAGCCAGGGGGACCCTTCACCCACCTCATCCCACTTCCAGGATGAGGGGAGCACTGGGAGGGGTGGGACCCTCCCCTGAGCAGGAAAGTGGCACGCCTGTTTACATTTGACTACTTCCCACCTTCCTCTGCAGTTATTTCTGAAGGTGGGAAAATAACCGTGACTTGAAATGCACAGAGGTTTTACGTGGGGGTGTATGTACTGACACGTAGAACTCAGGGCAAACAAACACGTGTGCACACACACGCACACCTGCAAACATGCACAGAGGGGAGCCCAGGACCTTGGCCAACCAAGCCAGTGACCAGTGGTCAGGAGTGGGGGTGGGGGACCCTGTAGTGAACTCTGTGGGTGGAGGGGCAGCAGGGACAAGCCCTGCCATGGAACTAACAAGACAAGCGGTCCTGCCACATGCATAACCATATGCCTCCGCCTCCTGCCTAGACCTAGCACAGGACAGCAGAACCCGCCAGCAAAGAGCTCTTACTATTACTTACCTCTTCCTACCAGAGCACCCTGGGAAAAGTTATTGACTTCTCTGGATGTCCGTTCCTTCTGTAGAAAACGAGGTGGTCGTTAGGATTAAAGAAACTGAGTGGTGCACACAGAAAGAGCTCCATAAATGTTAGATCTCTTCCAGCTCCGCTCAGCCCCCAGGGGTGGGAGGCTCTCTAGCTATAGGACTTCTTAGGGGGAAGAACAATTGGATCCTAGAGCTCAGCAAGCCCCATTAAGCTTGCCTGCTGTGTGCCCAGTGTTGCCCCCAGATGGGGACCAGGGGGTGGGGAGCTATGAGCAGAAATAGATGAAATGTCACACCTTGAAAAAGTGCCACCCTGGCAGGACCAAAAATGTAGAATGATTAGGAGAGTCCAGGACAGCTGGTCAGGGGACAGGGGACAGGAGGCAGCAGTGGGTGGAGAGGGTCTTCAGCCAGGTCAGGTCCTGGCCCCTCCCTGGCCTCCAGAGCCCACCTGAGCCACAGGTGTGTCTCCTCCACACCTTTGTTCCAACACCTTTGCTCTACAGTTGCTCCAGCATGTGGAGTGTGTTGAGAAACCATTGAAAATGAATTACAAACCTCCAGAGACTTGCCTTCCCTCCTCCCCAGGCAGCACCCACCTCCTTGGCCCTCTGGCTGGGCTGGGCAGTGAGGCAGAGCTCCCCCTCCTCAGCCAGGAGCCCAGCGCTGGGGTTCGGGCATCCAGAGGGAGGCAGTGGCTTCCTGCTTCCTGTTCACACCACACCCCTGATCCCAAGGCTTGGCAAAGGCCCAGCCAAGTCCTCCTGTGGCTGCTGGGCCTGCAGCCGCCCTCCAGGATCTAACTCGGAGCGGCCCACTCACCTGCCACCACCATTTAACACTGTCTTGCGCATGGCCCACTCATGCAAGCTGATCAGCAATTACTGCCGGGAGCTGCCGGGAAAGCTAATTGTCTTTTATCTGTAATTTCCGGGGTGAGCAGGAGTTCACGCTATCAGGTGTAGGTATTTCCCAACTGGATTGGAAGCTCCTTGCAGCAGGGCCCATGGCTTACATGCTTTTTGTGACCCCACAGCATCAGGTGTATGTCTGAGCATGCTGAGGGTACTAGTGATGCGAACAGTGAAATGTGTGACCCTTCCATCAACCCTGGGGGTAGGCAGAGAAGGGATTACTTTGTCTCATCTTGCAGGGAAAGCATCTGAGGCTCTGAGAGGTTAAGAGAGTTTTCAGAGGCTGCACAGCTTCTACATGGCAGGGTCAGGAATGCAGACCCAGGTCTTTGACTCCCTAATCTGCGCCTCCAGCCCAGATAAGGCTTGCAGCCTGGCTGATGGATCAATGCCTGTTTTACAGGAGCAGAGCCCAGGGCTGGTTCAGAGCGCCTGCTCCAGGTGAAAATTCCTTCAGAGATGACCTGCATCCTCAGCTTCTCCTTCCTGCGGCCACCTGATGGGCCCCTCAGGCACTATTCCTTGAGTCCTGGCTAGAGCGCTCCCTTTGGGGGACCGCATGGGGGGACACCATCACTGTGTGATGTGGCTGGGCCTGCAGCCAGGCAGCCAGAGCCAGCAGGCTGCGTGCAGACCTCAGCCTGACTTCTGATTGGGGCTGGGGGTTCTCTTCGTGCAGGGACTGCTGGCCAGCCATGGCCTTCAGTGACAGGAGGCAGAAAGGCCCAGGGCCAGTCAGGGAAGGAGGTGGCTTACTCCAGGGGCAAAGAGTCTCTGGGAGAGCCTGGCTCTGCAAGCCCCAGGGGACCCACCTCCTCCAGGCAGCTGCTCTGGATTTGGCAGAAAGTATGGAGCTGATCCCTTGAACTCCCCTTAACACTATCTATAATCCCCCTTGGCAAAGCTCTAAATGAGCTTGGAGAAGCTGTAGAAGCTGTTGTCAGGAGTCTGAGCTGTTCCTTCTCCAACCCAGCCCCCAGACTCATGCCGCTATTGACATCACTGTTCCTCTAGGTGGCTGGTGGATGTGGCCTCTTCCTCCCGCCTCCCGGGTCTCTCCCCTCCCAGGCAGCCTCCACTTACCCTGGAGCCCGGAGCCCAGGGTCCTGAGGGAGAAGCAGCAATGGCGACGGATTGCCTGGCCTTCCGGACTTCAGCGCCAGGTCCCCCTCAGCTGCGAGAAAGATGGGCAGCATAACTGAGTGTAGCGTTGATAAACTCCGGCCTCCCCAGCAGCAGATAAGCCCCTGGTGGGAGGGAGGCCAGCCCTTCATCTGTGCACCTGGCCGCCCGCTCCCGGGGTGAGTGTGGCCCCTCCCTTCTGCCTCTCATTTAATCACAGACTTCCAGGACCTCAGCGGTTATCTAGTCTTCCAGAGTCTGAATGCCATAAATAATTTATGCAAAAGAGGAGAGGTGGAGCCGAAAGAGCCTGGGCTTTGTGATCAGTTGGAGCCTGCGTTGCTGCTGGCTGTGTGACCTTGTGTGACCTTGGACAGGGTGGATAACCTCAATCTCAAAATCTCAAATGCGTGAGCTGGGAAGTAGGGTAACACCGTCCTCACGGAAGTGCTGTCAGGAGCAGGGAGGTAGGGGTACGAAGCGCCTGTTACTTCCCTGTTTGTCCCATCACTGTTGTCCCCCATTCCATCTTTATCACCTACTTCTCATCTCTCACCTTTTGTAATTAACTTTAAAAAATCTCACTGAGTTATGACATATGTAGAGGAGACAGCATACATGGCACTAATTCCAAGTGTATGGCTCGATGGATTTCTATGTTGGTAGATACCAATACAACCTCCACCCAGAGCAAGATACAAGTATTTCCAGTGTTCCAGAATGTTCCCATGTGGCCCTTCCCAGTCAGTAGCCAGCCTCCACCTGGAGCTAACCATTGTGCTGACTTCTAGCACCATCAGTTTCTTTTAAACCCAGAATTCCCTTTCCTTCTCCATCACAACTTGGGTCCGGGGTCTTTGGAAACAGCTGACCCTGGCTTTAGGGAACTCCAGAACCTCAGACCTGAAATCCACTTAGTTCATCCCCCTGCCTCAAAGTGGGCTGTTGCTCCTCAGGCCTCATGCCTCATCGGCCATCTCCACGAGGGGAGACTGAGTCACCGTGCTCCTCTTTCTTGCTCTACAGTCTGTGTATCTTGAAATTGCTCCACCACTGGGACTCCTGCTCTGGTTGGGGTCCTCGTGGCCTGAGCCTGTGGGTGCCATGCTGCCTCCAGGCAGGGGTGCGCCTTCTGGGCCCGTGCACCCCTGCAGGCCTGTGGCTCTCGCCCAACTTCCCTTCCCCAAAGCCCTCCTGGGCCTTGGCCACCTCCCCGGGCCGTGCTGCAGCCCTCTCTCTGCTGCCAGACCCCTAAGTCTTTTCGCTGCTGAGTCTGGGGCACAGGAAGAGGGCCATCGGAGAGTGGCCAGGAAGGAGAGGCCGGCCTCAGACCGCCCCCGCCCCCACCTCCTCAGGGGCTCCTCACAGGCCACTTACCACAAACCCAGCGCCTCCTGCCAAGCCTGCTCCTGCTCCTTCGGGCCCATCTCTGTCAGCCAGCACCGCCCTGCCCCAGCCTCCAGGCCCGGAGGCTCTGCCCTCTTGCCCCGCCCTCTCCCACCTCCCGCACCCGCATGGGGGCTCACGCTGACTTCCCCCTTCATTTCTTGTCTTGACCCTTACAACGCTCTTCTGGTGTCTCCTCCTCACCCCCGAGTGGCCCTCTCATTCCCAGGCACCCCATGTTCTGCTAACCCAGGCCTGCTATTTCCTTCCACACCTCAGGCCTCAACTCTGCCTGAAAGTCTTCTCTCAGCTTCAACTACTCAACTCCTCTCCAGCCATAAAAACACATCCCAAATGCCACCTCTCCTGGGACGCTTTCCCTAACTGCCTCCTAGAAGGTGGTTACTCCCCCCCAGTCCCTGAGGCTCTTGGAACAGACCCCCCCCCCTGCTCCTTTGATAGCACCTTCATCAGTCTGAGAGTCTGTCTTCCAGGCCAGGCTGTGGGCCCTCAGAGGAAAGGGGGCTTTTACATCCTCAGAGCCTAGTGCAGGGCACACTGACCTACAGTAGGAGGTGGTCGACTGCCGTGAACTGTGAATTGCAACCTACAATTAGTGGGTCAGAGGAAAAATTTAAAGTGGGTCTGCATTTTTTTTTTAAACAATGAAAAACTAGAAAATATCAGTATGCATTGTGTGAGCATTACTAAGCATTATTTTGAGAGCTTTCATCCTCTCGTATACACACACATGCACACTTGTGTACACACAGAGGCATGATGCAAAATCATGCAGATGCAGTTTTTTCCCCTTGGGTCACAGCTGTAAAAGCTTGGAAACCATTATTATCCTGCTGAGCGTCTCTCTTTTGGTAAGGTGAGTCCCTTCAACTCTACTTGGCAGCACCGGGAAGTTGACATAAGAAGTCACAGAGGAAAGATGAGACATTCCTGAGTGCCTTCCGTGTGCCAGATTTCTATTTGCTGGCCACTTGATATACCTCATCCCATCTTCCCCACAGCCCTGGGAGGTATGTGCTCAATAGCTGAGAAACCTCAGGCTCAGTGGAGCTAAGGGGTCAGACCCAGGTCCCACAGCTAGGATTTGAGCCCAGGTGTATCTCATTTACCAGCCCTTCCTATTTCCATAATTCTGGAGCCAGAAGCCAATTTCTAAGAGGGATGATGGCGGTGGTGGGGGGTGCAGTGCTGGAGAAAAGTAGGGAGGAAATTGCAGGCCACCTCTTGCAGAAAGGATGAGGTCCTCTGCTCTCTGTGGAGGGAGAGAAGTCAGTGTTCCAGTAATAACCCCTTCCTGGCCTGGGAGGGAGGTGACTGGCTCCCACGTGGAAATCTCCACACCCCCAGGTCTCCTGGCTGGCCTGGCCAGAGGGAGCTAGAATCCTGAAGCCTGGGAGGGAGGCTGCCTTGTTACTTGTTTGTTGGGAGCAGAGGGCGCCAGCAGTAGCACAGCCATTTCTGTCTGGTGGGTCTGCACCACCAAAGGCTACACGGGGTGAAAGGCAGCACCCAGGCTGCGACCCCTCGCCCTCTGCCACCAGGTTTCCGCTGGTCGTCTGCCCCATTCCCAGACCCTCCAGCCCCTGTGGGCTCCTGTGGTGCCCCAGCATCCTTCCATCATAAACTGGCTGTTTACTTGTCTCTGTCTCTCCCACCAGACTGTGATCCCCTTGGGGGACGGGCTGTGCTCCAAGCGCCCAGTCCTTTTGACAGCCTGGCGCACAGTAGGAGCTCAGAGAACACTTGCAGAAGGGTAGGAAGAGGGAGGGAAGGACAGCAAGGAAGGGCAGGGTGCAGCAGGGAGGGAGGGACGGGCTGGCTGCTCCAGCACTCCCGGAGACCCGGAGGGGGGGGGACCAGAGTCAGGGCCGTGCCCCTTGTAGACTGGAAGGAGACGCCCTGCCCTCCTGGAGCCCGAGTGCCTTGGGCACACACCTGGCTCCCCGGCTCTGGCCACTCCAGGCCACCGTAGCCATTTCCTGGGTGGAGAAGGCACTGCTCTCACTCAGGTTTCTGCTTGGGATTTGGCGAGATCTATGGTGGTCCTCCCCGTTCTGGAGCTCTCGCAGGCCCCCCCCTCTGGACATCCTGTGGACCCCACTGATCTCTGAGAGTGTAGGTTAGGGGTTCCCAGGTGGGTTTCGGAGGCGGCTCTGCATCTGAATCTTGGTGCTGGCTGTGTGAGCTCGGGCACCCTCACGTAGGTGCTGCCTCTAACTCCGGAGAGAGCCTGCTTCATGGGGGAAGTCTGAAGAAGACGATGTCTGCAAAGTGCGTGGCGTTCAGTAGAGTCCCCTTCCCTTTTCCTCCACTGCAGTTTTTCTGAGGCACTGGCTTCTCAACCACCTTGTACCAGGCCAGCCCCAAGACTGGCTGCCCACAGTCATGGGGACCCTCCCTCTCGTAGGACCCCTTCCACCACAGGCTGACACTCCTTCTGTGGAGCTCTCCTCTCCCTGGTCGGCTATAAGCACTCCCCGGGGCCTCCATATCGGGTCCTGTTTCTGGTCTTCAGGACAGCTCGAGGACTCGGTTCATTTACAGACCACCCATGTCTGATACAGACTCACCCGATAAAAGACCCAGCTCCTCCTGGCTTAGGTGACCCCAGGCCCTCTCCCCTGGCAGCTCCCGGGAAGGGCTGAGGGGCCCCACCTGGCAGAGATCCGAATGTCGCAGCTTGGCAGCAGCCCACAACCATTCCATGCTGGCTGTTGTCCCAAGCCAGAGGGGCAGCCAAGCCCAGCTGCGGACCCCCGAGCCTCGCCCGCCTCCCTCCCTGAAACGCCCCCTACCCTTTCTGCAATCAGGTGGGGGTCTGGGCAGACTCGGCTTCATTCTTGAAAGGCTCCCTCCTGCAGCCAGGGCCCCAGGACTTTCCTGCAGACACAGTGCACGCCTGGGATCCCTGTGCAAGGGCAGGGGGAGGAGGGATGACTCGAGGGAGGCAGCCAGTACTCTCTCCTGCCCCTGGGCCTTTGCACACGCAGGGTCCTTGCCTGGAAGTTCCTTCCTCACTTGTATATCTTTGGAATTCCCTCCCATGTCTGCAGTCTCCATTCATATGCAGCTTTCTCAAGTCTTCCCTGACCATGGCCCCCTCCCACAATTAATCAGCCCCTTGCTCCTTCTCCCATCCTCTGAGAACTCACAGCCAGTATGATGCTCAGCTCCTCTTGGGCTGTGAGCTCTCTAGAGCAGCTCAGTGGTCCCAGAACTAACAGGAAAATACCAATAGGTGTGTTAATACTGTGAGAGGAGGAGGTTTGAGTGTCTCTGCATGGTGTTTGTGGTGCAAAGGGAGGGAACCCCCAGGGTACATTGGGAGCCAGGGGGAGCTGCCTGGGGAGAGGGCCTCGGGCCTGGGCAGCTGAGGAGAAAGGGAGACAGGGCAAATGGGGAGCAGAGCAGTTAAACGAGGAGAAAGGCCAAACCTCTTCTAACGGAAAAAGAAAATGAAATCAGAATGAGAATTGATGAGGCGGAGAGAAAAGGAGACTCATTTCATCAGCAGGTTTGCCAGATGAAGCCCGGAGATAAATCACACAGCGGAAGGAGCCCTGGTCCCGCGCGGGGCGGGCTGCCTCTCCCTCTGTCAGCTGCCCCAGGCAGGCCTGTGAGATAAATGGCTGCAGCTGAGGCCCC